TCCATTTATTTCAACAAAGTAACTGTATTCTGAATACCACCTTGTTAAACGGTAACTGTAACGGAATACAGTTACTCATATTTTGTATTTTAAATATGTAACGGCGGTACATGTATTCCGTTACTCCCCAACACTGCTTATTGTGTCTTTAGGGTTTCGCTAGCTTAGCATAGCTTTTAGCCAACTCGCTAGCAGCATGGGCTCTTCACCTGACCCCCTACACTTTCCTGCTCATTGTGTCAAATTTAGTTACTCCTCTGCCTCCTTTATCAGTAATGATCATTGTATTAATTGTAGCCTATTTGCAGCTCTGGAAGCCGGGATCACTGAATTGTAGACCCGGCTTCGCACTCTTGATACACCCGTAGCTAGCCAGGCCCCTGTAGCTGGTGCAGCCGAAGGTAGTGTAGGCCCCGCTAGCTGTCACCTGACAGACTGTCAAGAACAGCTGAGGAAACAGGAAGGCTGGGTGACGGTGAGGAGGAAGCATAGTCTTAAACAGAAGCCCCATGTACACCACCAACCTGTTCATGTGTCTAACCGTTTTTCCCCACTCTGCAACAAACCGGCTGGGGATCTAAATCTGGTAATTGGCGATTCTGTTCTGAGACATGTAAATGGACTGGTTCTTATATGGTGCTTTTTCTACTCTATCTGAGCATTAATGTGCTTTACTCAACTTTCCCCATTAACACCCTTTCGCACAAGTACCTTTTCTATGCTCTTTGTCTATAACTGCTTTCTATCTAATATATACACACATTCATTCTCCAATAAATGCATCAGAGAGCAACTTGGGGTTACTATCTTGCCCAAGGATATCTGGCACACAGACCAATCTTATGATTGGTCTGTGTGCGCAATCATGCACTGCTGGCACGGTCTCCAATGACAATGTTTACAACCATTGGAGACGTGAGCAGGACAGACGGAACAATTGACGGAAAAAGTGTGGACTTTATACCAGTTTTTAAATTGTGTTGATAGGCCACGCAAAACCAGAGTTATGATAAAAATATGTGCAATGTTTGTTTTTTTCCTGAATACTATCATTGTTTATATTTACTGCGGGAAAAATGGTAAAAACTGCGTTTTATAAGGAATGCGTTTGAAAGCACTCTCCACCTGTGAGCAAAACCAAAAAAAACTCACCCTTTTCTATTGGTGGAAAAATGTACCATGTCGACCATTAAAAAAAGGAAATGGAAACATGACATTTAGTTGTTTAGGAAGGGGGAAGTTTAGGAGTGACGGCGTTTGCAACGTTTAGCGTGTTTGGAGTCTAAAGTCAGTGTGTTGTCTTGTGTAGTTAGTGTGTAGTGTAGTCAATTGTTTTGTTGTGTGTGTCAGAACATGAGGCGACTGCTGAATGTTACAGGTGTTACAGGAGTGATACAGCTGCTGCTGTCAGGCCTGCAGGTATCAGGCTGTTGTTCTCCTTTATCTCATAGTGGACAGAAATTATTTTTTGGAGTGGCACAAATAATTTGTGTGGCATTAAATTTGATGCAGAACAGCTGATTGTTCTGTAAATAGTTTGAAATGTTTATCTAAAAATGCATTGGCTGCATTTTTAGATAAACGGATGCAAAAAACTTTGTTGTTTGCATAACTCAGTCACTTTTTTGAAGAAGTAACTATATAAGTAATTTCCCAACATTGGTCATTATATGCTGTATTTTGCAGACAGAGAGTTACAGGACTCTCTCCCAGACCACAGACTCATACTCATAAACTCAGAGCTTTATAAAAAAAAAAAAGGAAAAAAAAGTTGTGTTTTCAAAATTGGAGTTCAAGTTATTTTTACTTCCAGTAGTGTTAACATACTACACAGGCCAATGGCTAGATTTTTTTTTACATTTTCATTGTAAGTGGGGCTAAAACAGTTTAAAAGTAGTCTCACATAAATGTAAATGCTGTAATTTGATTATTTTAATAAACCATGTAACTTGGATGGATTTGATGCTGGCGTGACCACAGTGCACACGTCTGATGTCGCTCACAGTGGTCCAAGGGATCGCTCAGGGAGTTTGTGTGTTTGCTCAGACACATTAAAATTAGAGGGAACATTGCACATCATCATGAATATTAAACTATAGTGTATATATTGTATAATATGAGTGAAAAGTAAACCATGTGACATGTAAACTTGGGTTACTAGGAAAGACCAAAATAATTTCTTTGATCGAGCATGTTGAATCTGACCAGAAAAGCCCCGAAATGAGAGGGAGCCACAGAGAGGAGGAGGATACGAGCTGTGAGGGACACACAGTGGACCAGTCCTTAGACCTTTGTGTCTCACACTGCCCTGTGATGACACTCCATACATGCAGTTTCATTAACACTAATGAATAATAATGAAAAGATAAAGTGATGAGTTACTATAGTTCTCAGTTACAGCCTCATGTTTACTCCATATTCATCTCTTTTCAGACATCAGCAGGATCGAGGACGTCTGAGGACGTTCCCCACCACATGAATGGGGGACGGGAGGCACAGCTTCCAGCCCAGCTGGTAGGAAAGTCCTCCTTGGGTGGACTTCTCTGTAACTATGGACTCTGCCTGTTGTCATGCGTGCAGACATTTCAGCCAGTGCTTTTTAAACATTAACTGTGCACATGTGCGGGATGTGAAATCTTCTGTTTCATTGTTAAATGTTCATTCACTTTGTTTGTGCTCCAAATAAATTCCCTTCATAGATGAAGCAGTTCAATTTTGTCCTCTTGGTTTGGTTCAATGCCCCCATGAAAAAACACCCTGAGCCCAACCTGCTAAATCTGGTGTGGAACTGCCACTGCTGTGAAGCTTCATCTTCATGTATCAAATTTTGTACTTAAAAAGTCCCCTTCCACTCATTTTCATGTCCATTTCCTGCACAATGAAACCTGAGGCAATGCTTAAACATGAGTCTGTCAACACCTATAAACACAACAGCCTTCATGTGCATGAATCAGGGTCTGTCATTTAGCAAAGAGACTTCAAACACTAGTACAAAAACAATCAAGCGGTCCTTCCAAATCTCATATTTGAGCGCACGGTAATAAAAACACTTGAGGATAATCAGTGCCCATGTCTGAATCTTAACAGATGCAAAAATAAACATGTAGAATAGAAAACAAAACAGCAGATTTTTAGTTAGAGAAGTGAAGAAAATGCTGTTTTCATTTTCTTCCCAACATTAGAAGAGTCTAACATGATGCACACGTGTAGAAACAGACACAAATACCTGTGCATGAACACTGCTGTGCAGACAAAACACACGATTTCCATCTTTCTCATGCAAAAACTCACCTACAGATCTTGTAAACAGGCAGAGAAGAATCAAAGCCAACACAGCTTTCCTGGACATGCTTGTATTCTCAGCAGTGGAGGTGCAATGCTCAGAGCTCCTTAGTCCTCTTGGGTTTGGGGGATATGAGCGCTCATAGCAAGAGGACTACAAGGGTACAGACCTTTATACACTTGAGTGTGCTGACAGCAGTCATGTGCTCATATTGTATCTGGCCCTCACTGTCACACTCACTGTTTCCACCAACACATCCACCCGGCTGAGCAGCTGCACACACGTGTCTACACTCATACATGCAGCTGCTGAGAGTGACGTCAGGCTGCAGGTCAGTAACCATGGTTTCAGGCGACGCTCTGAAACTGATGATTCCAGCCAAAGATGTCAGGTTATTGTTTCCATGCAGAATCAAGACTGAAGACAAATAAATCCACTTTCTGTTTACATAGTGCTTTACTGTAATTTCCATGGTAATGCTGACTTATAAAAACAAAGGTGATCCATCAGTCCAGATGAATAATGTGAGCTCATTTAAGCGCACGTTTGTGTATTCAGAGCCATGAATGTTGATGTACTCTGTCCACTGATGACTAGTGACAACTAGTGGACATTTGATGAGATTACATCAATAGTTTGTGTGAAATGAATAAAATACAGGCAGTACTGTAAAAATAAAATACTGCAGAACAAAATAGAAAACGTTAATTCACACAAGGGGAAGTCATGTGACTGTGACGACAAATGTCATTGGGTGGAAAGATCAGCGCCATCAGAACACCGACTGATCTGCAGCCTGATGCCATTTAGCGCTCTGTAACCTGATGGAGTCAGTGTGTAAAATAAGGTGATGCAAAGATCTGGATGGAGTAGATGGAGCAGAGCAGATGCAGAGTTTCAAATGCACCATCATGGCTCAATAAGAGCTTATCAAAATAATACAAATACTAACAAAAAGGACCCCAGATGGTTCTGATGGTTCTGTTCAGCTTTCGGTTTAATGATTTATATTACAATAACAATAAATAATACAATAAATAAGTTTTAAGAGGTCCAGAGCCTCAGGGCTGGGCTTAGGCCCCAGTGTTTCAAGATACAAACATACGCATACGTTTGGCAGTGGTGAGAACAAAATAGGCACGTTCAATAAATCTGATGGTAATTTTGTGTCAAAACTCTAAGAAGTTTGAACTTTTCCATGCAAACATTATTAAATGAGGCCCAATGTCCATAAATCAAAGAGGGGAAATGCACAGGTGATGACTTCATGCCTGTTGAGCTCTAATCTGCACATCAACCTGCTCCAGAGCAGATGGAGGAGAAATGAAGAAGAAGAGTTAGATGGAGCCGTGTGTGCAGCAGGGAGACGAGTGCTGTCATAAAGTGTGTCTGCTTCCTGCCATACCTGCCAAGCTTGTGTGATTTATCGGTGCAGATCTTTAAACTCACACTCTCGTGTCTTCTTGTCAAAGAAGCTGAGTTAAATAAAGTTTTTTGTCCTCATGTGAACAAAGTGAGTGTGCGTGCTGAAAGCAGCTGCTGTGGACGTGTGTGTTATTATTGCATACCAAAACACACACTTTCTTTCAGTTCAGTTTAGTGTGTGCAGCCAAACATCACAGCAGAAGAGGGTTCAGTTTCCTCATAGTTTCACACCTCCAAAGCCTTCACATCACAGGAAACTCTAAACACAGATGGAGGAGAAACTCTGTCGCTCACAACAAAGAACGAGTGTTTTATTTTGTTTTGTAATGGGAAAAAATTCTAGTTTTCATCTTGTCATACATTTAGATGTAGAAGATTTTTTGTATAACCTTTGCGTGCTTAGATGAAGTATGTGTATGTGTCAGCATGACCTTGTGAAAAATGTTTAGCTTTGCTTGACGATGTTTCACTATGTTATCTGCTAGTTTTGTAGAAGTACAAAACTCCCAAGATGACCAGTGCCAGGAGCTTACTGGGAAAAGATAGTGGGAAATGCTCTCTCCTCAGCCACAGCCTGTGTAACTACAAAATACAGAGAGCTGTGTTGGGGTATAAAAGAGGAGCTGAGACATCACAAGGGCAGAGCTGGCATGACCGTGAACTGTGATGTTTGATGTGTGTGTCTTCGCGTGCAGTAATAAATAGTTTGACCAAAGGTCACGTGAATGAAGAAATGCTGTTCACACTTTTGTTATTTTTTCACTGTCTGAACTGGCAGGAAGTCCTTTGTGAGGAGCAGGAAGTCCACTGAGATGCAGGAAGTTCCACTTTTGTTGTTTTTGGTGACTTTCAGAAATCTTCCAGCCACTATAAAATAAATACATTGCTATGGCAGAGGAAGGGTTCAGAATAACATGACATCAAATATGAAAAAAAGGATGTAAAAGATGAATAAAGATCTGCAGGGACCTACTGTTATGTGAATATATCCAGTTAAGAGGAGCTAATATGAGATAAATGTCCTCTTTCTTTATAGTCCTTGTGATATATATATTAGTAATTCTTTTAAATGATTGAATATTTTAAATAAAAGTACAGTTATGAATCAGTTAAACAGCTAAGAGAGCTGGGTGAAATAAAGGCTTTAAGTCTGAGGCACCATGAAAGCGAGTTAATAGAGAAAGTTTAAACTCATGATTAAAGCTGGAGGACTGATGGATGGGGAGCTGTGTGTGAGCACACCTGCAGGGATGGGCTGCTGGCTGGAAGTAATTACTGAGGTTGGGTCAAGGAGATCGATCAGAGAGACAGTCTGAATAAACATCAGCACTTATTCGTTCAGTTTTATTCACATAGCATCAAATCAAATCAACAGTTCATGCACTTTATATTGTAAAGACCCTACAATTGCAGTTAAAACTGCTGTAACTAATGATCTACATGGAAACACATCTATGGAGAGGAAATCCACCTGCTGAGGGTCACATCTGCATCACTGTAGCTACAGTGGATGTTTCAGTGTCAGGACTGAAGGTGGAGCTTTGTGTGTGTCAGGGTGAGCCCTCCAACCGAGGACATGCCTCCATCACTCTCAGCACTGGAGCCCCCCAGGGGTGTGTTCTGAGCCTGCTGTACTCGTTGTACACATATGACTGTGTGGCCACTACCAGCTCCACCACCATCATCAAGTTTGCTGACGACACCGTCGTGGTGGGCCTGATCTCTGATAACAACGAGACGGCCTGCCTGAAGGGGATTAGGAAATATATATTTATATATTTTTCTTATATATGTGTATATTGTGTGTTGTGTATTTTGTTGTACAGTTATTTTATTTTTAACTTTAATATATTTTATTTTATTCCTTCCTAGCTAAATTTACCCTTCATTTTAATTTTCATATTTATTTCCTATTCATAGTCTTTTTTTTTCTTTAGGTCACGAGCAGTTGTCTAAGCATTTCACTGCATATCGTACTGTGTATGACTGTGTATGTGACAAATAAAATTTGAATTTGAATACTTTACCATCTTAAATCTAACAAATTCCTTCATGAATTACATTTAGTCAAAGGTCAAAGGTCAAATGCTTCTTTGTCTTTCTCCACAGAACCATTTCCATCCTGGACCACAGCTCTCCTGGCGTTTCTTGTTGTTTCTGGAGGTCTTTTATTCTATTTCTGGCAGTATTTCATGTCAGGTGAGTGTCTCCTACTACAGACAGCTGTCTGAAACATGCTAACACTGAACCCTCACACAGAAAGTTTATGGCCTTTTTATCTAATAATGACAAAACAACGTCTGAGCCATGATCCTCATGTTGCTTTTAGAGAAAGTCATTAATACTTTTTATCAAGAGTAATATTACTATTATAATGATACTTCCCAGGTTATTGTCATGTGTTTTACAAGAGAAAAGGCATTTCCCTGAGCAATTCTTTCTTTGCTGTCCACCCACAGATGCTGATTGACATATACAATAGAAACAGAACATATAATACAAATAGTACAAATAAATAAATGAAGACAGAAAACAGACAAAATATGGAGATTTGAAACAGAGATGTGTGAAAAAGAGTTATAGCTTAATATGCAGGATGACCTGATGTGCAAAAAATCATTATTACTATTCAAAGTGGGTCGGCTGTTCAAGAGTAATGGCAGTGGGGAAGAAGGAGTTGTTGAGTCTGGATTTCAATTCAATTCAATTCAATTTTATTTATATAGCGCCAAATCACAACAAAAGTTGCCTCAAGGCGCTTCATAGATACAGAGAAAAATCCAACAATCATATGACCCCCTATGAGCAAGCACTTTGGCGACAGTGGGAAGGAAAAACTCCCTTTTAACAGGAAGAAACCTCCGGCAGAACCAGGCTCAGGGAGGGGCGGCCATCTGCTGCGACCGGTTGGGGTGAGAGAAGGAAGACAGGATAAAAGACATGCTGTGGAAGAGAGACAGAGGTTAATAACAGATATGATTCAATGCAGAGAGGTCTGTTAATACATAGTGAGTGAGAAAGGTGACTGGAAAGGAAAAACTCAATGCATCATGGGAATCCCCCGGCAGCCTACGTCTATTGCAGCATAACTAAGGGAGGATTCAGGGTCACCTGGTCCAGCCCTAACTATATGCTTTAGCAAAAAGGAAAGTTTTAAGCCTAATCTTGAAAGCAGAGATAGTGTCTGTCTCCCGAATCCAAACTCCAAATTTCACACTTCTAAACCTTTGTCTCGAGGGCAGAAGTGTGAACAGTCCGTGTTGGGGGTGTGTGGGGTCTTTGAGGATGGAGGCAGCTCTCCTCTGGACTCTGCGATGGTAGATGTTCTGCAGAGAGGGCAGCGGAGTCCTGATGATCTTCTCCACAGTTGTTATCACTCTCTGCAGGCATTTGCGGTCCATAGCAGTAGTGCTGCCGTACCATGCAGCTGGTCAGTGTTCTCTCTACAATGCAGCTGTAGAACCTGCTGTGGTCCTTGTGGGTGTTTTTGACCAGTCAAATCTTTGTATTTCACTCTCTTCTCATTGTGTTTGCTGTTCTCTCAGAGTGTCGGGTGGAGGTGGAGGAGTCTGTCTGGCTGCCTTTTAAAACCACAGCTCAGCTGCCTGAAGACACTCTGATAGAGTGGTGGCACCGTCCTGAGAAGCCTGACAAACAGGAGCGGGATTATAGAAGATGAAGATGAAAGACGAGCGTCTGAAAAGCAGACAGTTCAGCCTGACCTTTAAACGCTCCACAGAGAGAGACAGTGGCAGATACAGCTGTGTGGCCTGGAGCCACGGACACGTAATCGGATGAAGAATCATGCTGCTCACAATTACAGGTGTTTGTTCATTTTCATTTGGTTCTCTCTGCTTTCACTTATTATTTTATTGTATTTGTGTGTGAAGGTGTCGTGTCTCCTCTGCAGGGAGAGATCAGCACATCAGGAACAGAAGCAGCTCCACTGATCCGACTCCTCTGATGGCTGATCGATCAGTTTGATCTGTTTGTTCTTTGATTATTGATCAGTGATGTCAGAGTGGAATCAGTGTGATGATATGAATTCTACTGTAAACACCTTTTCCTTCATTTTCTCCTAGTGATCACTTTATGTCTTTACTCTGTAGTCATGTCCTGTTTAAAGCTTTGTGAGTGTCGGGTGTAAGCAGTGAGCAATCTGCATGAGTGGGAGACGTGGACGCTGTTGCAGGAAGGCTGCATTTTATTTATTTATGTGAGTTTAATCCATAAATTAATAAAGAGCCACTCCGATGTTCTTTGTGAGTCTTTCAGGTGATTCTGTTTTCACGTGCAGCTCAGCTGTTACTATGACTACAGCATGAAGAAGATAAAAGGAGGATTAGACATCAGTTGGTAGTTAACTAACACACAAAGTCCTGCAGCTTCCTAACCAGCTGGTTTCAACAAGTCTCACCTGTTAACACCTCCTCATCATCTTTCCTGCGCCTTCAGGGAGAGACGGAGGACTCCCCTCAGTTATTACATTCATTCATTACTACGTTCTTAGCTGATCCTACATTACAAAATGATTTTAACAATGAATGCAGTGGTGAATATGCGTTTAACCTTCCTGTCATGTTCGGTTTACATGTTTCGATTTACAACTTAAAACACTCATAAATATTGTGTTTTGCATCCGATTGTCTCAAGGCCTTATGACATCCTCCATACTATGCACTTGAACATATAACAGTGATTATCACCTCTTTAATTGAAAGCTTGTAGACAAACAGCTTTTTACAGCTACAGTGTAATTACCTGTTTTTGTTCGGTAAGGGTTAAGGACAGGATATCCTCAACTGCAGGTGAGCGAGAGAAACCACAGCAGAGACCTCTGTGTTTAAGAAGTGGACGGTTGTGGTCGCTGATGCTCTCAGCTGGCTCAGTTTCACACACAGGTACAAGAGCACAAGCCTCCACTGTGGAGTAGATACTACAGGGACTACATCTGAATGCCTGTAGAGCAGTGTGTAGTCACAGGAACCTGCCAGAAGGTAGCAGCACATCACCCCAGCGTCACCCTCCAACTAAAACCTCTGCAGAGACTCTGGCAGGTGTCTGCAGGTTCAAACCTGCAAGCTTTACATAAAAGCTGATTTGTCATCTGATTCAGGATCAAACTCATCAGGATGCGATAGGATAATAAGATTATTCCTTTATGACATCATAATTAAATAAGAAATGGTTTATTTATCTCACAAGTTTGAAAATTAGGCAAAATAATATGAAAAACATCTCAGTATAAAAAATAAAATGTCAGAGGAAATGGCTTGGATAATTAAAAATAATTAAAATACTAACAACAAAATCCCTTCATCTGTGCATGTGTGTATATCTGCTGGTTCATGTGTAGGTCTGGGTATATGTAGATGACAGTGAGTGAGAGATGATGATTCCAGTGTCACTAGATGGACCAGACCGTGCTTTAAGCTGTGGTTAGCAGTGTTGGTCAAGTTACTTGAAAAAAGTAATCAGTAACTAATTACTGATTACTTCCCCAAAAAAGTAATCCCGTTACTTTACTGATTACTTATTTTCAAAAGTAATTAATTACTTAGTTACTTAGTTACTTTTTAAAAACACGATTTACAACCTGAAGAGGTGATAAAGCGATAGAGCTTTCAGCCCAATTCTACTTTTTCTATATAATCCATCATACAAAACGTAATCAAATGGAAAAGTCTCTTTTTTTAACTTGTTTTATCAGTTTTAATCTTTTAACTTTATGCATCAAGCAAAAATTTAATTATATGCAACATTCTCTGACTTGAATAAATTAGTTTAACATTTAAACCTATTTTCTGCACATTCCAGCACATAAAAGAAAAAAAATTTTGTGTTTACACTCACTCTTTCAAATAGATGCAAGTAAAACACAGCAGAAAATAAATAAAGTCAAAGACTCAGCGGTCCTGTTGCTCTATTTTCACCTGTAAAGCAGGACTGCGGTAGGCGGATGCCTGCCCTGGTGCAGGTGTGCCGCGGTCAGTTGAAGAATCTGCGAGTTTCTCTGTGAGTTTCCCATTACGTCGTTGCGCACTCGGTGCTTGCTTGGAAGTTTAGGGGTTTTTTTCACTGTAAAAGAAGTTTTCTTCCCACGCACAACGGACACTAATGTTTTTGTCACTTTTTATGGAATCAAACTCAAAGTAAGGTCAGTACTTCCACGCTTTAAACGCTGCACGCTCATACTCTCTCCGCACTCGATATATTATCCATTGTTGATCTGCACACAGCTGTTGTCACTAACGGCGCACTCGCTTACGTCACTGTCGTGAGACGTTCTCTCAAAAAGTAACGCAGTAACGCAGCGTTACTACGGGAAAGTAACGGTAATCTAATTACCATTTTTGCAATAGTAATCCCTTACTTTACTCGTTACTTGAAAAAAGTAATCAGATTACAGTAACGCGTTACTGCCCATCTCTGGTGGTTAGTGCTTTTTACTGTCTGTGGATGCTGCTGCAAGACAACTACTTATAGTTAGCTGTGAACTGACCAATTATGCTTTTAATTAAAGTGGCTGGAAAGACTAGATCCATGGTGTGAACTGCAACTGTGAGAAGCCTTTTTTTCCTCCCACTGTGTTTAAACCAGGGGTCCCCAATCCCAGTCCACGAGGGCCGGTGTCCTGCAGGTTTTAGATGTGTCCTTGATCCATCACAGCTGATTTAAATGGCTAAATTAGCTCCTCAACATGTCTTGCAGTTCTCCAGAGGCCTGGTAATGAGCTAATCATGTGATTCAGGTGTGTTGACCCAGGGTGATATCTAAAACCTGCAGGGACACCGGCCCTCGTGGACTGGGATTGGGGACCCTGGTTTAAAAGACTGGAATGTTCTTTATTACAACTCTCCCAGACTGACGTTACTCCTCATGCATGAGATTGAAGCAATAAAGGCTTTGTTACAACCCGCATTGGTCAAGTTACTTGAAAAAAGTAATCAGTAACTAATTACTGATTACTTACTGTAATCAGTAACTAATTACTGATTACTTACTGTAATCAGTACTGATTACTTCCCAAAAAAGTAATCCCATTTTTTTACTGATTACTGATTTTCAAAAGTAATCAGTTACTTAGTTACTTTTTAAAAAATGATTTACAACCTGAATAGGTAAAAAAGCGATAGATCTTTCAGCCCAATTCTATTTTTTCTGCATCATGCAAAATGTAATCAAATGAAAGAATCTCTTTATAAAACTTGTTTTATTAGTTTTAATCTTTTAACTTTGCGCATGAGGCAAACATTAAATTATATGCAACATTCTCTGACTGGAAGAAATTAGTTTAACATTTAAACCCATTTTCTGCACATTCCAGCACATAAAATAAAATATTTTTTTGTGTTTACACTTAGGGCTGGGTATCGTCACTCATTTCTAGAATCGATTCGATTCAATTCGATTCAACTCGATTCAGTTTTAATCGAGGAAATTTTGCCTCAGACAGTCAGAAATATTAAAATTTAGATCAGGCATCAGTACATTTCTATATTTTTATATCTATAAAAACAAAGCTGACACTTGCGAGACTTTATCAAAGGTGTATAAGCATCACAGCAGATGCCTTTGTAGTAGTAGCTGAGGATAAAACACAGAAAAACATGAAGGTGATTTTCCAGGCCTGGGATTTTATAAAAATATTCTGCAGTAGATCAAAAACAAAGAAAACCATTAATCAACTTATAAACATTACCTGATGCTGCTGAACTGAAGCAGAGCAAAGTTACAAAGGTTTTATTAGAGAAACATCTCTGCATGTAGTGTGATTTTATCGTGGTGGCAGCAAAACAGTAAGAGGGAATTCATGACGATGTTTATGTGAAGCATAGTTTGCTGCTTCTTTTGCTGCTGGTTCAGTCATTATTGTTTGGAGAGAGATAAAACCTGCAGCTTCAGAATCAGGGCAAAAAGGGTGTAAACACAAAGCGCGGACCCGCCAAAACATCAGAATCAGTGAGCTCACTCATTCTGATCCGTCGGCGGGTCCACGCTTTGTGTTTACGTCTTTGTGCAGAATCTGTATTCCTGCTCTCATTTACTGTTTTAGCTGTTTGGTGGTTGTTGAAATTTTGTGAGGTTTAACCTGAGATTCTGGCGTTTTGGGCAAAATAAATTTATATTAAAAAAAATCGATTCAGGATTTTAATGAATCGATATCACGTTATCCAAGCGAGAATCGATTCTAATCGATAAATCAATACTCAACACTTCCTCCATTTGTTTCACATTAAAAGTCTTGAAACCAAACTGTCACAAATAAGCTTTTAATGTGAAGGAGACCGACCAGAAAGTGTTCAGTTTGGAAGTTTTAGCAGAAAAGTCTCATCTGTGCTGGGTCTGTGACTCTGAGCGTACACATACAATTTAAGGATTCAAAAGGGAACATATTAACATTTCTGGGTATATTATTCACTGGCTGTTCAAAGCAAACTCCAAGAAATTAAATAGAAAAAAAAAAAAAGTGAAAACTGGGCAGCTCAAAAATCTTGAATTGTTACATCAATAATAGCAAAAAAAAAAAAAAAAAAAAAAAAGCTCAGACAGACCAAAGAGTGAAAAACAAGGAGGTAAGTGAACTCTGGCCTCCTTCCTGTGCTTTTAGAGTATCGCACCACTTCCTGTGCTCACACTGTTGGCCTAAGATCCAGTTCAGCTACATTGTGTAACTTGAATGGTATTTGCTGGCATCCTTTATTTTTGTGAAGACCTTTATCATTATCCTTCAGCAAAGTGAATTACCCATTAACCATAGCAAAAAAGCTCCGTTACTTTTAACGCCGTTATTCCCATCACTGGTTTTAACTGCTCTTAAATTTGCACAAAACACATTTTTTCACCTACAAATTTTTTATTCAATATTCTTTAGCTGTGAACAATGTCTCAAAGTAGTGTTTAACATGAA